CCAGCTGTGTTTTCAGTTCACTCTGTCCTCACTGCTACAGTCTGTCTGAACCCACTGAGGAACTTTTTATTCCATCATCATCATCATCATCATCATCACAGACCGTTCTCATGGTATTTGTGTGCGTTTCCCGCCTGTGAGATGTGACCTGCCCCCACACGGCTCATCTTTTTAAAAGTTTAAGTCAGGACTCATTTTATGTGCAGTATCAACATTAGCAGGAGTTTCATTACATCAAACCAGCCGCTCCGACTCTCTCCCTGAGCTGTGTCAACAAATGACATGTGTTGCATCCTCTGTGTACAAGAGGAGAGCAGCAGGACATCGATGTAAGTCAGGGACTGCGTTTCTAGAGACGCAGTCTATTCCATGTGTCCAAAATGACATCAAAAAAGGAGCTGATGGGTTCAAATCTGTTGCTGCTCTTTAGGGGATAATCACACATTTTGAAGCTAATGCTTCCATCGAGTCAGTGATTTTTTTGTCTATATTCACTCACATTCTGTCAAACTGTCTCCATTAACAGCAGCAGAACAAGCTGTTTTAAGAACATTTACTAACAACAGAAACCAAACACAGTTGTATCACTGGAAATCAGGAATCACCCTGAATTTAAAAATATGTGCATCTTGTTGTGAGTTCAGATTCGACCAAGTTACGACTCTGAGAGGGAGCGTGATATTTGATGCCACTTGCAGCAGTCAGAGGTTAAAAGTACCTTAATGACCAATGTGTACCTTTCACCGTGCACCGTGAAATGTGGCCAAAAAATAAAAGCATATATGATAACATTATCATTGTAGAAAACTATTCCCTAAACACACAAACATCCAAAAGAGGAGTCAGAGGTTTAGTCTCAATTTCTAAGTAAACACACAGGTAAATATCTGTAAAAGGTGAGTTTGGTGATTATTATTTAGACTGTGATTTGAGCTCTGAATTAAAATTCATCATGATTCTGACCAGACGTGTGCCGCCCTGATCCGACTCCCTGTCGTTTCGTACCTGCATCTTGGTGACGTTGGGGAAGTCCCCGGGGCTGATGTGGTGCTCTTTCTGCAGGGTGGTGTAGATCTCCGGCAGCCTCATGATCAGCTCCTCCTTCTTCTTTTCCCGCCCAAACAGAGACGGCATCTCCTTCTTCAGGTAGCTGATGATGTAGGCGTGCACCTGAAGGGGCAGGAGCAGCAGGAGGCGTTAGCCAGTGTGCACAACAACAGACAAATAACAAATGATCCTCTGAGAGGCTGTAAGGGAAAAGGAACTGTGCTGGGAACAAATTCAATCAGTGCATGAGCAAACTGGTTTCTCTTGTTTTAATGAGACTAAAACCTGGCATTAGTCATACAGAGGAACAGGAGACTGAGCGGCGCCGGGTCAGGGGGTCAACGACACTGCTGCTGATGGATCGAGACGAGGGGGGGGGGGGGGTGAGGAAGGGGGAGCCTC